TAATATTATTGGGACTACAAATGAAATCCAAGAAGCAGTCACTTTACTAAAAGGCGAGTTTGAAATGAAAGATCTCGGACAGACCAAATACTGTCTCGGCTTGCAAATAGAACGAGTCCAAAATGGGATATTTGTCCATCAATCTAATTACACTAAAAGAATACTGAAACGATTCAATATGGACAAGGCAAATCCACTTAGTACCCCAATGGTCAATCGAACATTAGATATTGAAAAGGATCCGTTTCGACCTTGTGAAGAAGATGAAGAAATACTTGGTCCTGAAATACCATATATGAGTGCAATAGGTGCTCTTATGTATCTTGCTAATTGAACCAGATCAGATATATCTTTCGCTACCAACTTATTAGCAAGATATAACTCGGCACCTACAAAGAGACATTGGAATGGAATCAAGCATATATTCCGTTATCTCCAATGGACAATCGATTTGGGACTGTTTTACTCTAATGATAAAAAACATGAAATAATCGGTTTTGCAGATGCAGGATATCTATCAGACCCCCATAAAGCAAGATCTCAAACCGGCTATGTTTTCACTATTGGTGGAACTGCATTTTATTGGCGCTCCCAGAAACAAACATTAGTCGCGACGTCTTCAAACCATGCTGAGATCATTGCACATCATGAAGCAACTAGGGAAAGTATCTGGCTCAGAAACATGACTCAACATATTCAACAAGCCAGTGGACTATTGAACAATAATGACCCGACGGTAATATTCGAAGACAATGCAGCATGTGTCGCTCAAACCCAAGAAGGATACATCAAGAATGACAGAACTAAACATATCCCGCCAAAGTTCTTCTCATATGCGCAAGAGCTTGAAAGAAACAAACAAATCAAAGTTCAATACATTCGATCAAGCGATAATGCAGCTGATTTGTTTACGAAGGCGCTTCCGACGACAATGTTTCGAAAGCACGTACACAACATTGGAATGAGACATATTCGGGATTTGCACAGATGATAACTCGAGGGGGAATATGTGCAGCTGTACTCTTTTATCCTTATCTCGGTTTTTTCCCACAGGATTTTTCCAGATATGGTTTTTAACGAGGCAACATAAACTCACAGTTAATAGTGGTAATTCCAAGGGGAAGTGTTATGGACAAGTGTAATCTTACCACTAGTACCATTAATATTTATCTTATCATGGTGTATAGAAAATGTGTACTTATGCATGAATCTATATCTATATAATGGACCAACCCATTTTACTATATTTGTCACAAATTTTCCTGCCTAAATATTTCAGCTAAATTTGGCAATTACTATTAGACATTTATTTATTACATAAAACTAAAATTAATTAGTTCATTAAGGAATTTGAGAAGATTTAAACTATTTATTGTTTTAAATAAAATTTGGTTTAAAGATTCGTGAAGATAAATTATTTTTTTTAATAATATATTAAAAATTATAAATGTATTAGTACAACTTTCAAAATATTTAAACTAATTTTTGCTTGAAATAAATTTTGGTCTCAAAGATATGTGAAGATAAATTAATTATTTTAATAATATACCCAAAGATATAAATATATTAGTACAAGTTTTGTTTTGATGATTGGGTAAATATAAAAAAAAAAAAAATCAACACTAACATATTAACACACACACACACACACTTAAATAGAATGATTGATTGATTAGATATATTTTGAATAAGATCAATAATACCAATTTCATAATACTTCTGATGACATAATTTAAAAAAAAAAAAGTTACCCATTATAATTATAAAAAATATTGTGATTAGTTTTGTTATCATCTCATGGTTGTAGATATGAATTATGATAATCAATCAAAAATACTTAAATATAATAAAATAATGAAAATGACTATGTTTGAATTATATTAGCTTAATGAAAGATTTTAAATATAAATAACTTTTATAAAATACAGTCAACTTAACCATGAATAAACTAAAATATAAAGAATATATATTAATAAATTGCCTTTTTTTCGACGGGTAAATTTAAGAATTATAATTTTCACATTAATATCTATATATACAAAAAATACTATTCAAAGTGTTAAAAAATAAAATTTTTATTATTTATCTTTTTATGAAGAACAATGAGTAAATAAAATCTTATAGTCAAATAATAATTGAAATTATAAGATTTTATAGTCGTTGGAATATAAACTTATTAAATTGTTTTATTAATTAAATTATTATATATGTTGAGTTTAATGAATTAAATAAATAAATAGATACAAAAAAATACTAAAATACAACATAAATTATTTACCATGAAAATTTTGCGTTGCACAAGAGATAAAAGTTACTAAAAATTAGAAGTTATTTATCATAAGTTAGTATTTCATGCAATTAGAGTGATTATAAATAAAAAATAATTTTAGGAATTAAACGTTGGCCAGTATCTAGAAATATGCAAAATGAATTGCTAAAAAATTATAAGATTAATATAATCAATAATTATATAAGTATATGCAAGTAACTGGTATACAATCATTATTTTTTAAATCTTATATTTTTATAATATTTTATTTGATCTCACTAACACCATGTTCAAGAAGGTGGGGAATTTAAATAAATATTATACTATTACAGACTTCATATATTGTGTCGAAAAGAATTGACATATTATCTTAAATAATTTAATAATATTTAATAGAAAAATTTCTTTTTTTTTTTTATATTGTATCACGTGCATCGCACGGGTAGCAACACTAGTTTTGTCTATAAAAGGCAAGAGAAATGGTTCATTGTAGGTACGGAAAAAGAAGAAAGAAAGGAAAAACTTGTAATAATTTATATCCGATTTTTACATTGTGTTCTTTATTTTCATCGCATTTCACAACATAACGTAATTTATGCCACATTTATGATATTATCTCCAGACTAACATATTTCCCAAATATTTGGCAATTATCCACTTTCATATTAATAAAATATGGCAAATTTAACATGGTCTACATTATTTTGTGAATATTATATATATTATGCAGTTTAGATTTGACCTTTGAAAATAATTAATCGAGACAAATGAAAGGACGTCGACGTTTAAGACGGGTCCGGGCAGCAAATGGGCAATTTCGTCAGATTTGCCAAATTCACGAGGGCAGAATCGTCATCCTTGCAACCACAAGTTCCCACTCCACCAAAAGCCCATTCTTCATATCACCATAACAGAACAAGGTTGCATCTGAAAATTCTTTAATACCTCTTTTGCGGAAGAACTAATCCAATTGATTTAAGAATCCTCAATCGTAACCCTAGAAATCACAGGATGATGTTCTTTGTTCACATTTTTGCATGTTGACGGTTCAACCGCCGTAATTCACCGTCCGTTGATCAAGTAACGGCTCGCCGGTGCATTTTTCCGGTGTCTCTGTGATTTGGTTTTTACCCTGATTCGACAAATTGGAGGAGATGAAGAGGAATAAATCAGGTTTACGGACTGTTTTTCCTCGCGAAACAAGATTCTTGTGAGAGTTTGAATTCGTCAGAGGGATGATGAATTATCTGATATCATACTTTCTTTGTGGGGATAGTTGAGCTTGGTTGAGGTAATTGAGTTTCGAATTCTGAATCATATTTGTCAACTTTTCTTTATATATATTTTAACAATTTGCAGGAGTTGGTTTATTGATTATTTGTTTATTTTGGTGTTATCATGTCATCACGATCATTGTCATGATTCGCTGAAACCTGCCGTTTGGAATTTCATGATGCAGTGCTAGTTAATTTGTAGATCTGTAAGTTTTAAAACAAACCCTAGGGTTTCTTTACCTAACTTCTCTTCATGCTATCTCCCAGTCATGTGTCCCTTTGATAACGAAGATCAAGAAATTCCATACTTCTACTATCTCAGTTTCTGTCAAGTTTAATTTAGACCTTTTTTATGTTATAAGTGTCTGATCTGCAGAATTTAGCTCGATCAGCTTGCATATGATTGTATACCTCTGTTGGATTCATCCATATGAAGATGAATTACCGGAGGCATAGGCATGGGAAAGAACAGTCTCCCATTTTTTTAAAGCTCACGGTGGATAGAGGAAAGTGGTGTCCACACTTTTATTTAACCATCCTAAGAAGTGCTAGCTTCTTGATCGGTTACTGGCCCCTTACATTTTCATCATGGATTTTGTTGGATGTTTTCAAGCTATGAATTAACGGCTGTATAATAACTGTACTTGATGTGCCCCTGTTGTTTGAAGCGAAGATGGATAAGTGGACTAAACCCGTTAATCATTATTGTCGTGTGGCTGACTCTGAGGCCCAACTTGTGCTGCTTATGGCAAGAGATGGTTGGACAGTTGAGGAGGCCTAGGGTAGATGCCACTCGATTTGAAAAGGACCAAAGTGGATACCCTGATTGATAACTCAGGGTTCTCTGAAGGATCTGAATGGAAGTTATGTTGATGCATCAGGCTGTGTTAGAAAGCTACTGTCATGGACTGGCTTTGGAGCTTCTAGAAATGGAGTTATCATGGCTTTTGTTTCTATTCTTTTTGGTGTTATCATATGTCTGAAAGCTTTGCGGCGAACATTCAATTCTTATTCTTTTTTATTCTTATGGTATATCTGCCTCTTTAATCGCTCGTATGAATCTTTACAACTACATTTTTTTTTTTCTGTAGTGAAATAATATACTTTCATAAGTTCTGGTTTAGTATAAAAGAAATTAGAAAATTGCTACTGCTAAATTGGCTGAGTATCGTCATTATCCTTGTTTGATCTTGGATTCTATTGTTCTGATAGCTTTGGATGTAAAAATTTCATTTGTTTTCCTATTTTTGCTAGAGTTTGTTTGATGATCTGTTTTATGTTTGGTTCAGGATTAAAATTGTACAAAATATAATATTAGTTTTTCAATGAATTTCGCGTATGTATGCAAGAATGGTTGCTTGTGGACTAAACTTGTGTGCCAACGGTTTGACATTTTGTTTTTTTAAATTGTAGAGTGAAGGTTTGCCAGTATATATTTATCTGTAAAGGCAGAGGATATGGATACAAATGCATGTAATTTTGATAACCACCCGGACACCGACGCCCTCTTGCCACCTCGAAAGCGGCTTCTGGCAGGATTTAAGAGACAGAATTCAGATGTCAGTTCCCCTTCATTGTCAAAATCCGATATCCCTCTCAACAACCCGTTTATGGCCCAATTTAGTAATTCAAACCTCTCAATTGAAGAGATTGTTGAGGCCTCGAGAATTGCTGCAATAGAGGCCGCAAAATTTGCCGAGGCTGCCAAAGCTAAAGCGGAGGAGAAGGCCGCGAAAGCAGCCAAGGCATTTGCCGCAGCTAAGAGTGCCTTGGACCTTGTGGCCACCCTTTCTGACGAGGCAGCCGAAAAGGAAACATCTCTGAGAAAGAACAAGATGAAGAAGCATGTGAGCGTAGAAGAATTGTACAGTAATAAGAGCAAAGGCACTAGTAGCTGTGGTACGGACGAAGAATTGGCTCGCAATTTGCATAGGTCCATTAATAGTTCTCCCAGAATTTTGAAGAATTCTGATGTAAAGGTTCACAAGAACAAGAAGTTGAAATCGAAAGGCTCGAATTTTTCCGGGAGGATTAATAATGGCGGCGAAATTGCAAATGGGGAAGGAAATCGACCTCCCACCGTCACAAGCAACGGTAATGGTGCAGTAGGGAATTTAGAGAGTGAAGGTCCATCGAAGGAGATAGATAAGGTTATGGTAGATTTGAATAGAAGTGATCAACTAAAGGTGGATAGTATGGATGGTCTTGGTAGAAAGAGGGGAAAGATTAAGCAGAAAAAGTTGCCCTTGAGCATTTGTAGTTTCAGGGATCAAATTGCACCAGAAGAGGAACTGAATAATAATATCGGGATCAATGGGGCATTGTTTTCTTCAAGTAGTAATTTAACACCTGTTGAGAAGGCATCCTTGTGGAAATGTCAATCCGTGAAAGCGCCAGCTTGCCTTAAACAAAATAAAGTTATGCGGTCGTAAAATGTTTGATAGGTTTGTCTGAATAACCGAAGGCCATCGTGGTAAAGAGTCTGGCCAAGGGTATTTCTTTATTGTGGATTTTTGTATTCCTAAGAACATGAGGATGTTGTCTTTTTTCAGTCTTTTTTTGTTTTGTTTATGTCCCTGTGTGTGATAGATATAGAATTGATTCTTGAACTTAAATGTATATTGGACTTTGATTGTGCTTGCTTGTGATTGTTGTTGGAGATTATCTTTATCTCAACATTGAAATTGGAGAACTGCGTGCTCACTCCTTTCTGTGTTCCCTTAGTCTAAAGCATTTGGACTTGAATGTTTTTATTTCAAGTTTAATTTGCTTGTGAATTTGATTAATAGTGTAAATTCAGAAACTGAAGCAACTTCATTAGTTAGATATACACGTGTCAAGTTTATTTATTATAAGAAAAATGTCAACTTCATTAGTTTATTTATTTTGCCCTATGCTACTAATTCATAGGTGTAAATTCTACCTTCAAACGCTTTCACAAGCCCTGCTGGGGTGTTGCTCGTACCACTGGGCTCCCGAACAACTCTCTTTTGGTCTGGGCTGGTCCAACACTTCCTTTAACAACCCGATTTTAGTCCATTTCAACTGCAACTCACAACACAAAGTAAAGGTGATTAGTAGCAGGCAAAAAAGAGAAGAAAAATGAAGAAGAAAAATAGGAAATGAAAGAGAATGGAAAGAACTCCCTTTGACCGGACGATTGGAGAAGAGGGACACAAAGTCCAGCTCAGATCGCCCTTGAACCCGGTACCCTCGGTAACTAGCGGCTCGGTGGTGGTCAACGGACGGCAGCCCCGATTCCTCGGCCCATTCCCCGGGCTGCGTCCCCTCACACAAGCCAAACCTCAGCTTAGCCCCGTAGCCAAACCCTCTCCTCCGCAGGCACCACAAAGGGCTTGTGACCGAGGATAAGAGGAGGCGACAACGGCGGCTCAGCGGCGGCACTCCGGTGGCTCACACGGGGGCTCTCACAGCGACACTCACAAAGGAATCGATCGGGTGTTTCTCATAGAAAGAGAGATGGTCTCAGTCGCACAGAGAGAGAGAGAGATAGATCGGGCGCAGCAGCAGGTAAGAGAGGAGAGTGAGATTAGGTTAGGGCAAAGTGAGAGTAAAGGGTATATATATGGTGTAAAGGATGGTTTTAATCCCTAAGATCCAACGGTCCTAAATTACTCCTGCCATTAATGTGTAGAAGAGGGTCAGGCCCAGTCGGGATTGGGCCGGGGGATCCTTGGGCCTGAGATAGGGATTTGGTTTGGGCCAAATTTCCCAACATTTCTCCACCGATTTGGCCCACCGAATACCGGACACCTTGAGGGGCCGGAGGACTTTCATCATCGCTTAACGACACCTGCACTTTTCACGAGTTAGCACAAGTATATAAAACAGACAGCAAACACATAGTACACTACCCACAAACACACAGAAATTACAGCACATCAGTCACATGAATCAAAGTTCAAAGTTCTCATGCATGATCTAAATTTTTCAACAGTTAAACACTTAGTTCCCATATCCGCGGGGTTAAACTCAGATATAATTTTTTCAAGATTAAATAAGCCTTTAGACACAATATCACGTATGTAATGGAACCTAACGCCTATATGCTTAGTGCGATCATGAAAAATTAGGATTTTTACACAATTAAATCCCCGATTGGCTATCAGAAAACACAACATCTTTTTCAAGCAAATCGATTTCACATAAGAGACCCTTCAACCAAACAGCCTCTTTCAAGGCCTCAGTAACAACCACATATTCAGATTCGGTCGTAGACAAAGCAACAATATGTTGTAGTTGTGATTTCCAACTTACACAAGAGCCACGCAAAGTAAACACATATGAAGTTGTTGATTTTCTATTATCTCTATCGTTAGCATAATTCGAATCAACATAGCCAACAAGTTTAACACCCTCTGAACACTTAGAATATTTCAGACCACATGCATAGAACCATTCAAGTAACGTAACAACCACTTAAGAGCTTCCCAATGAGGCATACCCGGATTAGACATGTACCTACTCAAATAACTAACATCATATGCAATATCCGGCCAAGTACTAACCATGAGATACATCACAGAACCAATTGCATTTGAATAAGGCACGTTTTTCATCAAATCAATTTCAGTATCAATCTTAGGAGACTGATCCTTACTTAACACAAAGTGGGCAGGAAAAGGGACATTCACGAATTTTGCGGATGACATAGAAAATTTACTCAAAATCTTCTCCACATAAGAAATTTGGTTAAGAAAAATCACAAAGTTTTTCCTATTACGAATAATGTTCATTCCAAGAATCCTTTTGGCATCTCTAAGGTTTTTCATATCAAATTTATCACTTAGACATTTTTGAACATGCTCAATAGACTTAATGCAAGGACGACCAACAACATATCATCCAAATAAATGAGCAGAAAAACAGGAACATCAGCATTTTCTTGAAAGTACAAAAAATGATCATAAGAACTCCTTTTAAACTTTAAAGAAAGCATGAACATATCAAATTTTTTGTTCCATTTCCTAGGAGATTGTTTCAAACCATACAAGGATTTCTTCAACAAACACACATAATCAGATTTCTTAGCATCCACAAATCCAACATGTTGTTTCATATAAATTTTTTTCATCCAATTCACCATGCAAGAAAGCAGTTTTAACATCCATTTGCTTTAATTCACAATCAAAGTGAGCAACTAAAGCAAGCATGATACGCACAGTGGTGAATTTAACAACAGGAGAAAAAATGTCGGTATAATCAATACCCTCACGTTGAGTGAAACCTTTTGCTACGAGTCTAGCCTTAAACCTAACCGAATCATTTTCTTGTTTAACCTTATACAACCATTTGCAATCCACTAAGGAACAATTATCAGGTTTAGGCACAAGAGACCAAGTATAATTCACATGCAACGAATTAATTTCTTCACGCATAGCATTCATCCGTTGCAAAGAATTCACAGATTTTAAGGCTTCCTCATAAGACTTAGGCTCACCGTTATCAATGGATTCGAAAACACCAAAAGCATATGAAGTCATGTGAAAATCATCAAACTTAGAAGGTTTCTTACGCTCTTTTCTAGTCATATCTCTAACAAGTTGATAATCATGCAAATCAACATCA